GGAAAGGAGGTGACCTTTGAGACAGAGAGCAGCTGAGCCAGGAGGCCGCTGTGGGGAGCCACAGGCCGGGAGCACACGGGGCGGTGGCCTGAGGCTCTGTGGGCCACACGGACAGGTGTGGGCTTGGTCCTGCAGCAAAGGAGATTGGACACTTTCCATAGATAAGTCCTAGGATAACGTGTACCCAGTTAGTCCTAGGATAACGTGTACCCAGTTACTGCCCAGCTGTCTTCCCAGAGATTAAGTAATGATTTTATTTCATCTTTTTTCAATATATTATGTCGAATACATACTAGGGACCACTTATGAATAGCAACTCTTTTGCAAGAGTGTTCTGGAAAAACATCTATTTCTGCTTTATTGACTATGCCAAAGCCTTTGACTGTGTGGATCACAATAAACTGTGGAAAATTCTGAAAGAGATGGGAATACCAGACCACCTGACCTGCCTCTTGAGAAACCTGTATGCAGGTCAGGAAGCAACAGTTAGAACTGGACATGGAACAAAAGACTGGTTCCAAATAGGAAAAGGAGTATGTCAAGGCTGTATATTGTCACCCTGCTTATTTAACTTATATGCAGAGTACATCATGAGAAACCCTGGGCTGGAGGAAGCACAAGCTGGAATCAAGATTGCTGGGAGAAATATCAATAACCTCAGGTGTGCAGATGACACCACCCTTATGGCAGAAAGTGAAGAAGAACTAAAGAGCCTCTTGATGAAAGTGAAAGAGGAGAGTGAAAAAGTTGGCTTAAAGCTCAGCATTCAGAAAACTAAGATCATGGCATCCGGTCCCATCACTTCATGGCAGATAGATGGGGAAACAGTGGCTGACTTTATTTTTCTGGGCTCCAAAATCACTGCAGATGGTGATTGCAGCAATGAAATTAAAAGATGTTTACTCCTTGCAAGGAAAGTTATGACCAACCTAGACAGCATATTAAAAAGCAGAGACATTACTTTGCCAACAAAGGTCCGTCAAGGCTATGGTTTTTCCAGTAGTCATGTATGGATGTGAGAGTTGGACTATAAAGAAAGCTGAGCGCCGAAGAATTGATGCTTTTGAACTGTGGTGTTGGAGAAGACTCTTGAGAGTCCCTTGGACTGCAGGGAGATCCATCCAGTCCATCCTAAAGGAGATCAGTCAGTCCTGGGTGTTCATTGGAAGGACTGATGTTGAAGCTGAAGCTCCAGTACTTTGGCCACCTGATGCGAAGAGCTGACTCATTTGAAAAGACCCTGATGCTGGGAAAGATTGAGGGCAGGAGGAGAAGGGGATGACAGAGGATGAGATGGTTGGATGGCATCACCGGCTTGATGGACATGGGTTTGGGTGAACTCTGGGAGATGGTGATGGACAGGGAGGCCTGGCGTGCTTCGGTTCATGGGATTGTAAAGAGTCGCACATGACTGAGCGACTAAACTGAACTGATGAATAGCAAAGTTTGTCTTTGCTATAAACTGTTGTTTTAGGCTAGCTGATAGCAAAACATCCAAAATGTGTATTATGATTTCTAGAGATTTTAAGTAAGAGTTAATGGTCTAAAAGTTACTTTAAAAAATTTAATATTTGCTACATTCTCTCCCAACTTTTATCAACTTTGCTGGGAGCTGAGACAGCCAGGGACACTCCCAGAATTGTTCTCAGCATTTCCCCAGGGAGTTCCGGAGTGGGAGGCGGGTGGGGTGGGGGACACAGTTCTTCCTGGGTGTTTGTGGGAGACCAGTCTTCTCGCCCAGAGCTACCAGGTGGTGCTGCCTGATTCAAGGGTCCTCCAGGCCTCACTTCTCAGGTTCTTGTTCAAGGGCATATCACACCTCGCCTTCCGTACTCTGCTTTTTCCTTTTTTATATTATGCATCTCCTTCTAACACACCATGTAATTTACTGACAGATGTTTGTTGCTCATTATGATCTGTCCCCCTACTAGAACTAAGTCCCTGAAGAGCAGGGGTCTTTGTAGGTTCTGTTCCATTGGGTATCTTGACCCCCTATGTTTGTATCTTGTAGAAGATCTAGACCCAAGGTGGGTATCTGGGTAATCAGAAAACAGCCTTTAAGAATTTGCCACTTGGGACTTCCCTGGTGGTCCAGTGGCTAAAACTCCATGCTCCCAAACCATGGGTCCAGGTTCGATTCCTGGTCAGGGAACTAGATCTTGCATACTACACCTAAAAGATCCTGAATGCTGTAACTAAGAGCTGGCGCAGCCAAATAAATATTTTTTTAAAAAAATTGCTACTTGCTCTCCTTGACCATGATTTGTCATCAGAGGTGAGTTAGTAAGAATGAAAATCTTGGAGCAAAGCTGTTTATACATTTGACTGTCATCAGTGTTGCAGACAAAAGCCCCTAGTGCCCTCCGAGTGTGGACCTGAGGCTGTTGGGGTCAAGGCCTGGCACAGAAAGCAGAGATGGTGGGGTGCTCTGAGTTTGCTGTAACAGACCATGTCCTTTTGAACAGGTATAAGAGTCTGGTCACTGGGGCCCGAGCGAGAGGAGTTATTGCTGCCCTCTGGGTCCTGGCGTTTGGCATCGGCCTGACGCCGTTCCTGGGGTGGAATAGCAGAGAAAGCGCCATCAACTGCACGGAGCCGGGAGACAGAGCCGTGAACATGAGCTGCTGCCTCATCAGGTGTCTCTTCGAAAACGTGGTGCCCATGAGCTACATGGTGTACTTCAACTTCTTCGGCTGTGTCCTGCCCCCGCTGCTCATCATGCTGGCCATCTACGTCAAGATCTTCCTGGTGGCCTGCAGGCAGCTGCAGCGCACAGAGCTCATGGACCACTCGAGGACCATCCTCCAGCGGGAGATCCACGCGGCCAAGTCCCTGGCCATGATTGTTGGCATTTTTGCCCTATGCTGGCTGCCAGTCCATGCCATCAACTGTGCCTCGCTCTTCCAGCCAACCTGGGCCAAGGAGAAGCCCAAGTGGGCGATGAACATAGCCATCCTCCTGTCGCACGCCAACTCGGCCGTCAACCCCATCGTCTACGCCTACCGGAACCGAGACTTCCGCTACACTTTTCACAAAATCATTTCCAGGTATGTCCTCTGCCGGACGGACATCCTCAAGAGCAGGGAGGGGCAGGCAGGGTCGCAGCCCACTCTCCAGCTGGGCCTATGACCCAGGCTCTGGCCTCTTCCAGGAGAGGGCTTAATAACAAAGGGACGGGGCACGCTTGGCCAGTTCTCACTGGAAAGACAGCAACCCTCACAGGCCAGCCGGTTGCCTCTTCTGGGTGCTTCCCTGAAGGTTCCATGTACCTCGTTAACATGTGACTACTACTTCCTGAGGTTGACAAATGTATTTATGGTTCTCTGGCTGCTTTGTGTGGATGATGCTGATGGTGTGAATGGATTGTAAAAGTATGTTTTGCTTTTTTTTGTTTAAGAGTCTGCTTCATTTATGGTAGAAAATGATCAAAACTATTTTACTGTGACATACTGTGAACTATTATAATACAAATATTTTTTTAACTTGGAGGCAATGGGAAAGGTTGGACATGTTAAAAATAGTACTTGTTTTGAGGAAGGTGACCAGGAAAAGTAAAAGTATCAATCTTCAACCAAGAGACTGCTGTTTTAGGGAAATGACAGGCTTGTAAGTTCTTAAGTAGAACATCATCGCAGGCTCAACAACATTCTTATCCATGTACAGCACCCCACCCCACCCCAGAAGAAGCTGTAGAAGCAGGGTCCTCCACTACAAGGCTCCGATCCCCTTCCAGAGCTAGGTGGTGATTTTTACGTCTCTCGCAAGTTCAAGTTTGGCCATGATGCTGGACCCCAAAGTGAAAATTTTACTAAGGTGGGTTATGTAATTGTGTTTCTGTATGAGGTAAAATAAAAATAAAACTTAACAAAAGTTCTGGGTGTTGTGCCAGCTTGCTGCAGAGCTCACCTACCTTCTGTTCCGTATCCTGAAATAAGTTCACACCCAGGCCCTTTTCCTGAGTTGAGCCTTGACAGGTTTTATTTGCCGCACCATCACCTAGGAGACAGCTGTGCCAACCACAGAAGCTTGTGCCATTGTGACCTTTCACACATTCATTCCTTAGCACCTCCTGTTTCAGGGGTACAGGGTTGGGAGTACCTAGGCTCCAAGACCATCCACTTTGCCTGTCTGGTGGCTGGCTCAGCTCCTCCTGCAGTAACCCTGCAAGGACGTGAAGCCCCAGAAAGACGGGAAAGCTTGTCCAAGGACCCTGTTCAGCTGTGAACGGTTGTCCCCGAGGGAGGTGCCTGTCCTGTCTCAGCTCCGTCTCGTGTTCATTTCCATCACAGCTCCTATGCTCTCTCTCAGGATCCAAACGAGTCCTATTCCTCTCCCGCCTCACAGCCTCTGGAGATCTGCCTTTTCTCACTCGGCCTGGAACACCTGGCAGCATGTCTGGCTGCCTCCCTCACCCGCTTGTTACGAAGCTCAGAAATACTCTGAGCAGACCTGCACTTCCTTGTTCTAGGTGCTGCCTTTCCAACAGCCCAGCCTATTTAAGCAACTGCTTGGCCTCAACACTGCAAATGTCTGGAGCCTGCTAAACCCAGCAACCCCAACGTCTCTTTATATCTGCTGCTGTTACAGCCACATCTGTGCTCTGACCTTTTACTGCAGAAAGACTTTCTGGGCCCAAGAAGAGCTAACACTTGTGCATCTAAACCATCGTACTGTCTCCTCTCCCATTCTAACCTCTTAAGAAGGACTAGGACTTCGGTTGTTTGAAAATCTCACTGTGGATGCGACTTAATGTTAGGCTTTGGAGTCTAAGATGCTTGATTACATCTGGAAATTTTTTACCCATGGAGCCTGGAGGCTGGATTTTTCACGAGGGCTTCACGCCATATACATGTCCTGGGTCTGGAATCCAGGGCGGAAGGGGACACTAATGTGAAGTCTAGTCCACATCTCCTCTATGTGAACCTCGCGTGACAGGGCACGTGCATCTCTGGACGGGACTTCTACTTTGAAAGATGGTCAGTGATGCTCCATCTGCACTTTTATGCTTCCTGTGTCTTCTCCGCTGACAGTATGTCAGTCAGTTGCTTGTCAGAGACACTCAGCTGCTGACAGGTCCTCATGACCTGACTCAGGTAAACTGCCAAGAGGTGCTTGCACTAGAAGAGACAACACGCAAGCCAGTTAGAAACAGGGAGGGCCAGGCTTCACAGAGCAGGAAAGGAGCGGGGCACACACATCAGGGGCCTGGAACCCACTGCCTAGAACCGCAGACCAAGGTTAGACAGGTGTCTACTCTAGCAGTCCGGTGGACAAGGAGGTTTTATCAATACTTGGCCTGCTCTTTGGGGCAACACTGTAGATCCAGCAGGGACAGGTGAAATCAAGTGAAAACCAAGACAGGCTCTTTATGTCAGTCCTAATCATACTTCTTTCTTCCTTGCCCTCAGAAAGCTGTTAACAGCAGTGGCTAACGTTCTTCAAGGTACAGTGTTGCTAAGATTATCTCAAAGATCTCATTTAAATCTGACAGCCCCCTGGGGGACAGGGTTTACCTTCATTTTACACATCTGCACCAAGTCTACAAAAGGGGACTAGTCCTTAACCACTGGACACCAAGAGCAGGGATGGCGGGACCCTCACTGTTTTGCCTGTCCCTCTCCGAGGCATGATCTGTGCTGGACCTCACACCGTGGGGCACACCACTTGGGCTGCTGAGGGCCCGGCTCCAACCCTGTCATTTTTCAGGTGAGATCACTGAGTGAGGCTCCCTGCCAATGGGAAAACCCACTTGCCACCTGCTTCCTGACAGGTGTGACAACTGTGTAAAGAAAGGGGAGCGTGGGGCAGATGCTGTAATTCTCTCCCTTGGCAAGACTGGAAAGATCCTCCCCACCCTCAGGTGGTAGTGGTTCTCCTGTGGACTCAGGACGGATGTGAGGAGGTCTCGTTCCTGCCTGATGCTCTGGGCTCCTGTGAGATTGGCCGAGGCACCAACATGCTTTGCTGCCCCTGGTGAAAGTCAAGCGAGGCTGAGCACCAGGGTGTCCACGGGCAGTGGGAGAAGCGCCTCGTGGCTGAAGGTTGGGGCACGCACTGTTGCCAGTGTCCAGTTTGGCTCATGTTTTTACTGGGCCCGATAACTGCCCAGGTGCCAACTCTGGGGATTACTTGCTGCCCTCCTGAAGCTTCATCTCTGACCTTTTAAATTAAAACAGGAAACTGGCATAGTTCTAAAAATGCCCCTGTGTTTTGGGAGGGTAAAGCCAGAAGAGATGACTGACTGAAGTCAAGGACAACAAACTACCATCTGTTTCCACACAGAGTAGACCCCACGTAGGGCGCAGAGCGAGGCTCCCAGCGCCCCCTGCCCCGCCACCAGCTCGGCCATGGCCGAGGCCCATCCATCCTCACCACGAGGCTGTCCCCCTTCCGCAGCACAGAGAAGGCGAATGCCGGGCATGAGCAGTAGTGGCAAGAAGCCAGACATGTGTACGTTCTCCCGGAGCTTCCAAGCACCTGGAAAGGGGAGGACAGGTGGAGTCAGACCTGGAAAGGTGAGCGGGAAAACCACTACTGCCCTTGAGTGTACCTTTGTGAGGGTGCAGGGCTGTTCTTCGAGGGCCTACCTGCCCATGGGACCCTTCTGCTGCCTCAGTGCCCTGCCCTTGACAGCGCCACATGCAAAACAGAAGTGTCTCGGGTGGGCTGAACCCTCCACACGAACCACTGTTTTTCTGCCTAGGGATTCAGAGGGTTGACTAGAGAAAGAGAGGAGAAGGCTCCCTGCACTGTACTTTGTTGTTGTGTTTCTCAGCCTATGCAGTTATTTCACAGCATGTGTGTGAATGTTTAAAGCCTCCACCACACTCCTAGCAGGAGTCTGAGGACAGGAAAGGCCCAGTAGGGAGTGGGAGGAACACGTGGAACAGAGACTCCTGTAACGGGGTGACTCAGCTGCCATAGGAACGGCAAGTCCAGGTCTGCTGGCTCACCTAGCAGGACGGGATGAGGGCACGGACCCGGGAGGGCTGGCAGGAGGCCACATTCAGAGCCAACGGCCTTGCTGTCAGTCAGGAGACACAGGGGACCCTGTGTTTGGAGGGTGGCTGGACAGACCTAGAGGAATGGCTCATCTCCGTCCTCACCCCCCAGGTGCTGAGACAGGAAGTGGAGGGCTTTGTTCCTCATGTCCCAGTGAAGTAAAGTTACTATCCCAGGGACCTAGAGACCCCCTGCAGTGGGTCAGGGGCAGGGAACTGCCCCTGGAGGATGTGCCCCAGGGCCTTCACGTTTGTTTCAGGCTCTGAGATGACAACCTACGTGGAAAAAAGAAATGTCAGTGCCCCTAGAATTGTTTCCTGTTTTCCTCACACAGGTAAGACTTCCACTGAAAAACAGCAATGTTGAGTCAGGTGTTGTCTCTCCAGCATTTCGCCTGGTGCAGGCATGTCGCTATGGGTTTTTTTTGCCAAGTCAGGAGGACTCCTTGGGGGCTGCACGATGACCAGAAATGGCCGGTGACTGGGTAACAGGATGCCTACTGAACCCATTACACATTTCAGCCCCATTACAAACCGGATATTAAGAAAGTCACACCACATGTTTCCAGTCCTGAGGCGCTGACGTGTTGAAACTGGTGAGGGCTAGGGGTGCGAGGAGGAGCTGCCCTTTGCTGAAGGGAGAGCATGAGAGCAGACTGGTTCCCACTCAGTCCCACAAGAAAACCCACCAACGTCTGGCAGGGACACCAACAATTCTTGGGTCTCTAAACCCTTACCAATGGTTTCTTCTTCTCTCTAGATTTATGGTTAATTAGGCATAAGCCTGTTGGAGAAGGAAATGGCAACCCACTCCAGTATTCTTGCCTGGAGAATCCCAGGGATGGGGGAGCCTGGTGGGCTGCTGTCTGTGGGGTTGCACAGTCAGACACGACTGAAGTGACTTAGCAGCAGCAGCAGGCATAAGCCTCTGGGATTCTACACAGACTGCTTCCCCCTTATGGTGGGTCCCCAGCCAATTACTCTCTGCACGAGGCTGAGTAAGTGCCTGGTCACTCAGGGGTGGGGAGAAGTTTTGCAGAAGTTCCCTGGCTGGGACTCAAAACATGCAGCCGCCCAAGGCGGTGAATACGGTAAAGAGAGTCACTTCTCAGTTGGCTTCTCTATCTAGCAGTGGACGACTAATGAACCTGATAATCGGGCAGAGATCTGAGTCAGATGTGTTTGGAGCTGAAAACTGACCTCAGGGACTGTTTAATTCACCCTTTGTGGAAAAAACCACCTCCTCTTACAGGAAGTGCTCCAAGCTCATCCATTCGGAGCCAGGAGTGTCAGTCCCAGAGGGGAGCCTTTACAAAAGGAATGCAGGCAGGAGGATACTCAGACCCAGGCTGGACTTGCCCGCACCGCCCTGGGAGGATCTGCTGCAGCTACAGTGAGGCTCTAAGGTGATGGGCCCACTGAACAGTCATCCACCCACAAGCACAGTTTACTTTATGGCTGCTCCAAGCCCTCAGCATCCGTCACAGTGGTGAACTGTATACGATTCACCATTCCCTGAGTTTGGTGCCTCTCTTGGAAAGAGGATGTTATGTCCCTGCCCTGATACATACAGGCTGACTATGTGACCTGCTTTAGCCAGTAAAGTGTGACTGGCCAGGCAGAAACGTTCAACATAGATACCTACGATATCCTGACTTCCCTCTGCTATGAGATCCACAGTGTCCCAGACACAGGCTGCTCCATCGCCTGGGATCCTGGGCCACGATGTTCTGGATCAAAGCTGCAATTGGCTCTCAATGGAGATGGACAGGGAGTGAGACATCTCTGTAGCTTTCAAATTTAGGGGCCATTGTTACAAATTTAACTTGGCCCCTCCTGACTGACGCAGTCCCCTTCCTAGGAGGACTGAAGTTTATCAAAAAGGGACTCAAGTGACAACATGAGTGTGACTTCAGGGTAATTACCACCACACCTGGAGGAGGTGAGAATGTTAGAAGGTCGACCTATGGAATGATAACTAGCTGGGTAACAAGGCAACATCTGACTCAACCTTTATCATCTTACAGAACCTCTGAATTAAGCCAAATTCTTTCCATATTACTACATACAGTGAAACCACTGAGGTTAATTGGAGGGTGTCTGTAAGGTTTCTACAACCTCATTTAATTCAAAGTCCAAAGCAATTCTAAGAATTTTGCATTTTTACGATGAATAAAGCAACATGACACAATACAGAATGTGAATGATGAAAACTAGAACAAGTCACGGTGATCGTGGGAGGAATAATAAGTCAAGAATAACTGAAATATTTCCAACACAGTCTTTGAGATTTTAACTAACAGCAAGATCATGCTTGTGCGGGTCAAGTGTTCTGCTGATGTTGGAACTGGGACAAGAGAATCTGAAACTAAAAGACACGGGAAAACTCAGGAGCCCTTTTTGACAAGGATACGTTAGCTACATAAAACCCAAAAATAAATACACTAGCAAAGAAAATGGAAATCTTTCCTCAGGTACAAACAACATTGCTTAAGAATTCTGATTCTTAATCTATGACGTTCACCAACAGAAAATTCTAATAAGCAGCCTCTTCTGAGTAAATACAGAAGTTTTAACTGCAGCATTCAGCACTAATCACCCCAGCTTACTTCAGGCAGAAACGCATAAGGATGTGCCAGCTGGCTGCACCACCCTACTGCATGGAAAAGCGAGTTCATGGGCCAAGTCTTCCATGTGCCCGAGAGGCTTTGCTCAGTCCCTTGCTAAAAATGAATCAACACGGTCTCAATTCTGAGACAGTCATCATAAATAAACCAGAACCCAAACGCTCAAAAGTTCTGCCTTTCCTGGTCTTCACCAAGGCCGGGATCTCATACAAGGGCTGATGGCTGCTGCTTCTACCCCTTCCATACACAAAATTTTGGAGACCACTGCCAACATTTTTATTTCATTCACAAGATCCCCTTCTCTGAATCCCAGCTGGCATACCACGTCTAACGTGGCTAAACTTGGGGTTTGGGAGGCAGAGAGTCTGGCCTGCTGTTGACACCGAGACAGGCAGGACCGGCTGCCAGCTATACAACCCTGCTGCCGTAGGGGACAGTTAATTTTCTGCATCTCAGTTTTCAGCAAAATAAATATCTTTCCGGGCTTTTGGTGAGAATTAGCAATACATGAAAGTAATTCAGTGTCTGATACGAGTCCGATTTGTACTTTACAAACCTGCCTACCTTAAGGTCCACTTGAACTAAGATCCAAGTAAACTGCCCACATTCAGCACAGTGTGGCCTTCGTGAATGCTTCCAACAACAGTTCTGACAGATCGTTTCTATTAGATGAACCTTGACATGTGAAAGGACCTTAAAATGCATTTTGGCTTTTGCTTGTAAGCAAGAGACAAGGAACAGGGTGATCCCTGTAGTGTCAAATGACAGAAAGGGAAGTTGGCTGTGACCATCAGACCTGGGCAAAGAACCTCCCTGGATCATTGCTGGTTCCACACACTGCTCCCAGGTGGGGTTAACAGGCCACATCTATCTGACTCTAACTACTCACACTCTCATTTCACTAAGTTGGGTCAAGTCCTTTCAACCATCCACCAGCTTTCATACAGATTCATGAAAACATCTGTCCTAAGGGGATCTGGTTGAGATTACTCCACCTCTGGGTTTCTACCTGGTAAACACGCCTTCCGCTGGGCGAGGAGATTAAGGTAACGGACTGGCGGTCAACTAGGTCCAAGGCCTGGACGGCTGACGAGCCGAAGACAAATTTCAGCCTGGGAAGGAGAGGAGCCTCAGGTTAGATGATGGACTGAAAGCTACCTCTCTGACTCGACCCGAAAGATTACCATCAGCAGCTTCTGAAAATTTAATTCAGAAAAAAACATACAGCAAAATCCCACATAATCAACTGCCCAGAATAAATGTTAACATGTTGTTTATAAAGAAGCCTCTTTATATGTCAGAGGCCTTCCTGTTCTTCCTCAATTTCTCCATCCTCAAGGCAACCACATGCATTTCATGTTAATGTTTTTATATTTTACTATACATAGTACATATGTGTATGTGCATACATACACACACATATACATATGGTGATGTTTTTTAAGTTTAAAACATGAACAGTATATTCTGGGCTTTTTGGGCAACTTTTTTTCACATTCAGTGTGCTTCTGAGAATGATGCATATATATGTGTGTGCACGTGCACATGTATATATATATATATATATATATACACAAACATATTTTAAAATTTAACTTTTGTATAATATTCTAGTGTACGTACATAGTACATTTTATTTCTTAACTACTCTTAGCCTCTTACTCAGGAAACAGGCCTCCCCCGAGCACTGTATGTGTAAGAGTTGTTCAAGGGTAAAATGTCCTTCTCTTTTCATGTGTTAGTAGTGTAAGAGCTACAACTTTTAGAACGATGTTAAAATACAGTGGCACTTAGGACAATAAGGGAGTGCCTTGTACTGTCAAGTACAGTGCTGGTTATTCACTTGAGACAGATTTTTAACAATTACATCAATAAAATATTGTTCCTAGCTTAGTAAGAATATTTTCTAAAAATAAGAGTTGGTGTTGAAAGAACTGGCCTTTAAAAACACACATTAGTGATTTATAAAGAACCCCAAATACAAAAGAATATATACTTACGATAACAGATGCTCATCAGGAACTGTAAAACAGGAATGGAAAGTAAGTGAATTGTGTTAAACCAGTGACCATAGACAAAAACATTTTAAAAAGGCTATTATAGCCAAAAAGACTTCTGTGTAAGATGATGAATTGAACCTATGCATCAAATTTTACTCCTTCCCAATATTCCACTTAACAATAATAAAAGAATTTTCTAAAATGCATAAACTCTCAAGGATGAGGACACGGAGAAACACAGCTAAGATATGTTGGAAAATTATTTACAAGACTTGAGAAAACTGAAACTTAAGCTAGCAATAGGAGAGCCAAGCAACAACCTGATTTACACTGCAGACTCTAGTACCCTCACTCCCTAAAAAAAAAAAAAACCTTCCAGAAATTGGTGGCACCAGATGGCTCTGAAGTAGGAATGAAGCAGGAGGGCTAAAATAACACTCTTTGAAAGTTTACGAAGTTGGAAGGTAGTAGAATAATACTTTAAGATGTCTGAGGAAATATTTCCAACATATAATTCAATAATACCTTGTCAAACTATCAATTAAATCTCGGGATAGGAGAATATGTGCTCTATAAAATAAGACAGTAAACTGGGAAAAAGAAACTTGTAGGGTATACTACACATTAAGGCCCAAAGTAGGTGAAGGGAATTCCCCATAGTACTGGTGGGGGCAGATCTCGGGAGAGCAGCCTGGACGCTCTAGGAGAGGAGAATGAGATGGACAGAATACCTCAGCATCTTGAGTAGAAGATTTAGAACCCTGGTAAGAGTTTGAAGTTGAATTATGGATGTGTGTGTGTCTGTTAGTCACTTAGTCGCGTTCGACTCTTTGCACCCCTATGGACTGTAGCCTGCCAGGCTCCTGTCCATGGAATTCTCCAGGCAGGAATACTGGAGTGGGTTGCCATTTCCTTCTCTAGGGGATCTTCCTGACCCAGGGATCAAACCTGGGTCTCCTGAATTGCTGGCAGATTCTTTACCATCTGAGCTATAAGGAAGTTATTGAATTAGGGATAAATATATAGAAAAGTAAACAACCAAACAAATGCAATCATGACAGTTTTGAGAGAAAGCAAAAAGTTACAGTAAAGAAGTAGTCATCACTTCCTATATGGCTCAGCTGTGACTAGATTTTACATCATCATACAAGTGTAAACTTAGAATACTGATCTAAAGAAAATTATCGTCGAAGGAGTGGGCTCAGGAGAGTGTATGACTGTCTAAGTACAAAGATTTCTAAATAGCAGAAAACCGCTCTGAAAAACGTGAACCGGTGATAGTGGTCTCGATGAGCCCCAAGCCTCAGGGGCGCCCCCTTCAAGACTCTCACACTGTGCTCTTCACACACAGCCCTTTCTGGCAACCACTGTTTGAGCTGTCAACAGACTGGCTTTTCCCCCAAGCTTTTTGAGATTAGAGGATGTTCGAATACCCGGCTCGCCTCATCTTTTAAGCACATGTACTGCTTTAGATTTAACTGAAATGAGAAAAGTTGGCTTCCTCCTCTCAATTCTTTAAAAACAGTACGTCAAGGTAAATCCTTTTCAAAGTGCAGTCCTTTGCAAACAAACGCCGCCAAGTGAACCAGCAGGGGAGTCCTGAGGCCTAAGCAATATATTCGATGGTCATTCAGATGCCGGTGGCGCAGTTCTGAGGACGCGCTCTGAAGCCCCGTGCGCTTGCGGCCAGGGGATGCGGGAGCGTGGTAACAGAGCATCCTCTGCTGGTCAGAGGAATAAAGGCACAGCCACAGCGTCCAGACCCCTCAAGTCCTGCGTCTGCGGCCCTGAAACAGTCACTCGTGCACAGAGGTCAGGAGGGGAACCGTTTGGAACGAACACAGACTGCGAGAAGGACTACAGGCGAGTTGAGAGGGCGGAGACCTCCCCAGTGGGCCCGGATCCCCGAACCCCGTCCCGCCGGCGCTGCCTCCCGCACCCCCGCCCGTACTCGGCGCGCCGTCCCGCACCGCCGCCGCCATCTCGCTCAGCAGCTCCTCCACCACGGTTGGCAGCGTGAGAGGCCCAGTCGGAGCCGCCATGGCGGGTCCCGCGTTTTCCGGGGCGGGGGAAAGGGGAGAGGTGACGTAGTTTGCGTCCCGGCGCATGCTGGCGGCCTGGCCAATCGGCGGGCTTTCGGCGCCAGGGGCGGGACTTCCGGAGGCCGTGGCCGCAGTGCGCAGAGGACGAGCGGGCCGCCATGTACCGGCTTCTGGCTGTGGGCCTGGCCCGAGGCCTGTTGCGGGCGGCGGGACTGCGGGGCCGCTGCCGCCGGGTGCACCTGCTGCCCGGGCCACCGGGAGCCCGGGCGCCGCCGTGCCGAGAGGCGCCGCACGGCCGAGGCTCGGGCCTGCTGCCGCTGCTGGCAGGTGAGGGGCGCGGGCCGGCGGGCCGGGCGGGCCGGGCTGAGCACGGTGACCTCAGCGCCCCTTCCCGCAGCGCTCGCCTGGTCGTCGAGGCCCGCGGCGGCGGAGCAGGAGCGGCGGGGCGCGGGCGGGGCTGCGGCCGGGGACGCCGAGGCCGAGGCCGAGATCATCCAGCTGCTGAAGCGAGCCAAGGTGAGGGGCCGCGGCGTGCCCCCCGGCTACGGGGACCCCTGTGGACGGAGTCCTGGGGTCCGCCCGCCGCGCGTCGGGCGCAGGTGGAGGCGGCGCTGCGGACCGCGAGGTTGGCGAGCGCGGGGAGAAGTGCACACAGGCTGAGGGGAGCGGGGCGGGCCTCTTCTTCCTGAACGTTTTCTCCTCTTCCCGGGGTGCCGGGCCTCCTTCGGGCTGACCGTCGCCTCGTGCCCGACGCGTCCGTACCTGTGCCCGCAGACGGCGGGTGCGGCCCCTGTGCCAGCTCCATTTGGAGGCTTCAGCTGACCCAAACGAACCTGTGGTCTTAGGCACCTCCCCTACCCCTTCCCTCAGTACCTCTTCATTTCTGTAGCCTGCCCCGTTTTCCTGTCTGGACGCTCCATGGTCATTCTGAGAACTTGTACCTAACTATCACTTCCCAGTTACCGAGAACCCAGCAACGAATTTTTGGATTTTGCCACCAAATCCAAAATACTTGTCAAACCTGTCGCGTCTCTGTGTCTTCTGCTGTCACCCTGGCCACGTTGCCACAGCCTGCAGTCTTGTCTGCCCAGTTGCCCCCCTGCCATCCAGACTCAACAGCAACTGGAGCTATCATTTAAATGTAAATCAGCTGGTGTCATTCCGTGCCCACAAGCCTTGGATGACCCGTCACAGCGTTTGTGGTAGAACCCAGACTCCTTGCCCTGGCCGGTGAGACCTATGGTCCCACCCCATTGCCTCCCTACTTGGCAGTAGCAGTCACCATCCTCGGTTCACATCTGTTCACTTTCATTGTTTGAGTGGTTCTTGAAGATCCGTTTTCTTCAGCCTGGAGCACCTTCGCTCATTCCCCGTTTTCTGTTTGGGTCAATTTTCCCCCACAGTTCCTTACTTGGTTGGCTGTTTCTCTTCCTTTTTACTTCAGTTTAACTGTCGCTTCCTTGGGCGGCTTCTCTTGACTCTCATTTGAAGGAAACCCCTTGTTCCTTTCTCTTGCTTTTCTTCACAGCCTGTATCATTGGTTGTGATTGAGCTCACCTGTCCTGCAGGAAGAGCGGAGGAGGATGTAATGCCAGCAGCTCCTTTATAAGAGCTCGTGAAAGGTGCTCAGGATCCCGCTGCCTACGTCTTTCAGCCAGTGTGCTATATTATGGCCATGCGGAGCTGCAGGGGAGCCCCTCTCCAGTTGAGATTGCAGACACCGTGCGTTTGCACAACAGGGATTCAATAAATGTTTGAGGAATGAATGACTAGCTTCACTCTGTGTACTGGGACACGTAGCGGTACTTGCTTCTGTCTGGCAGTGCATGTCTCTGTTCTTTTTGTGTTTCATTTTCTTTTATTTTGTTTTCTCTTTTCAGTTGTGCATCATGAAAGAGGAGCCAGAAGAGGCAGAGCTGATTTTGCATGATGCTCTTCGTCTTGCCCACAAGAGTCACAACACAAAAGCCATTGCTTACACTTACGACCTGGTAACTCCTCTGTCCAGTCTGAGCCACCAACGATGGTGCAGAAGGGCTGTTAGTGCTCCTGATTAGTATTCCTCACCTGCAGGCTGTCTCTCTGGGTTTTGTTTTCACTAAGTTTTCTTTAGCTTTCAATTTTTATTACCCTTAGACTGTCATGTTTAAGAAACCTCAACCCCAGACTGAAAAGAAACAATTATCATTAATGTTTGTGTTCTCAGTGAAGAGTGGATCTAGATTTGTCATCATCAGAGTCTATGCATGTACTCTCAGCCCATTGCTGGAGTTTGCTTCTAGCAGATTAGTGACAATTTCTGACCTGTTTTTTTTTTTAGATAGAAGGTGAAAGCAAAGGGGAGTTTTTAGTGTAAAGATTTTGAAGTAAGTGAAAACACAGTGCTCTAAACTGAAAAACAACTTGTAATCTGCTTTCAGATGGCGAACTTAGCATTTATAAGGGGTCAGCTTGAAAACGTAAGTAAATCATGTTGTAATGTTAGTCTCAAGGGACCTCTGCACATAAGGGTACAGGCTAAGCTGCTGTGACAGAGACCCCAAGATAAAGTGACTGAAATAAGAGGGAAGCGTATCCATTTAATGCATTAGTCCAGAGGCGGCTGAACCCTGAAGAGGGGTGGGCACTTCTACCCCAAGAAGTGACCCAGGAGCCCAGGTTCCTTCTAAGATGTATTTTCGCCTGAGTACAAGCACTGGCTCATCTCCAGCTGTGGGCAGGGAGAGGATGGAGGACTAGCAGCATCCTTGTGAAGTACGCTGTTGAGGCTGTTCGTGTAAACTACGTGCATCTCTTGGCCGCAGTCTCCTCATATGATCACACCTGAAATGCAAAGGAAGGACCCTTGACCTGATGGAAACTGAGGAGACTGTACTTGAAAAGATGGAGAGGAGAGTGACTGTTAGGGGTAGTTTTCAGTCTCTGCCACAGTGGGTTTGGGTGGGAAGTTGATCTCTGAAGCTGGTTCTACACAGAGTCGTTTTCAAGGTACCCAGAGGATGTGGGGTCCCAGTGTTTTAGTCTGTTTTTCCCACACAAGGTTACCTTTCTCTGTGTATGTGTGTTTTTCAAGGAATGCTGCCTCAGACTAGTACTTAGAATGCAGGGTCATCTGGATATGGGGCCCAAATAAAAGAAAAAATCTCTTCATTATGATTTTAGGCAGAAAAACTTTTTAAAGCAACAATGAGTTACCTGCTTGGAGGGGGCATGCAACAGGTAAGGACATTACATAGTATTACACCCTAGCTGAAGCAGTTTTCAAAATAGCCTTGTGTCCTAGAAACTCCACCCAGTCCTCACATGTGTTTTGACCAAGAAGTTGGGATTTTTCCCCTTAAGACCAGTATAAAAACTGCCAGTCTTTCACTCATGCAAAAGCATGACGCCTGATTCCTTCAAAAGCATCAAAACTATGGCTTTCAGGGTGTAGTCAGTCTAGAAATTAATATGAAATACGAAGAAATTTTATGAGGAAATTTTATTTGTTATGAACTAACCTCCTGGAAATTTTATTTGTTATGAACTAACTTCCTTTTTCTTTTACCAATAGGAAGACAATGCAATCATAGAGATCTCCCTAAAGCTGGCCACTATTTACGCTGCTCAGAGTAGGTAAGTGTAGTCAGAGTCTGGGTGTGGGGCAAGGGCTGTGGGTCAGAAACTGACCCTGGAGTGTCACAGTTTTCATCCTACTAATCACCTGGGTATCCACAATCTCAGTTGTCACACTCCTGGTGTCCTGTCCCTCATCTTTGAGATCTTGAGCCTTTTCCAGTTTTGCCCCTCCTGTGTCCATTAGCATGCCCAGTAGGGCCTGTGGCCCTCGTCCCTGTGGTGCACCATGACAGGCCTGGTCATGTGTTCTATTCCTGCTTGAACTGGGAAGTTGTTAGAACCTTAGTTTTGCTCTTCTTAGGAGAGCTGGGAGCAATGCACGAGTGGTCGGGAGTGGCATATTTTGCTGGTGGAAGTATCAACGAAGCAGGAAGTTGGGTACAGGTTACATAATGAGAGAGTTGCTGTGAGAGGGTGTCAGTGGCTTGTCCGGTGGGTGGTTTGTAAAGGCTGTAGAGGTGATGGGGTGGCTAGGTTGTAGCAAGGAGGCAGCGAGGCATGGGATAGAGACCTTTGGACGAGTGGGACAGGAAAGCAGTGCTACTTAAAGAGTATTGGGTGAGTCTAGATTCTTACACAGAAGAAAAAGTCTGCCCAGGTACCTAGGAAAGGTTTTGGGAAACCTTTTAGATGTGTGCCAAAGGTCAAGGACACAGATAGAGAGGCCTGGAGCATTCACTGTCTAGGTGAAAACTCGGAGGATGTAAGCAGAGGACTCCTGGAGGGTTAATTTGGGGTAAATTTAAGGGAAGACTTGGCTTCTCCTTAGCCCTTGAGTTGCTGCAGGAATTGGGTACTACAAGTTTTGAATGGTACCTAGCCCAGTGCTATAGGAGAAGTGCTTACTGCAGCCAGAGACCCTGGCACTGGCACCTGCAGCCCGAGTGGTCCGCTCCTTTGTTCTTGGGGGGACCCGGTCCATCTCCTGGCATTTGGCTGGACACTGGATGGACCAGAGCCTCAGGGCCTCTGACTCCAAGTCTATAGAGAAACTTTGAGGTTGGTTCATGCCAGGGAGCATTGCAGCTGGGTTAGTCTTTCTGGACGGGTTACAGACAGGACCAGATGTTGGTGGGTGTGGATCCCTGGGTTGAGGAGAAGCCCAGAGATGGTAACACTGGACAGTAAGAGACACCCACGATCTCTCAAGAGGTGAAAGCTGTGCGGTACCTACAATAATTAGCCCATAAGTCCCCCTGCTCAGAAGTGTTCTCTCCTGATGACTGAGAACGTCTTGTGGGCAGCCTCCCCTGCTCCACGCCCTGCTTGGATGAGGTCCCTGCTGCTGTCGAGGTTTGGCTCGGGGAAAGCTGCTCCTCTTCTGAGAACGGAGTGGGGTGGGGTTGTCTGGCCAAGCCTAGCGGAGAGGTAAGCTTGTTTAGTGCCGCTTCCAGTGAGGAGCTGAGAGCCAGAATGGAGGAGCAAAGACCAGAACAGATGGGTGCTTTGTGGTGCTCACCGTGTCTCCGAGATGCCAGCGGGCAACCCTCTTTCTGTCCAGAGTTGGCCTGCTGGCTGCTTGGGCATCCTCATTGGTGACTCAGGGTCTCCGGACTGGGGCCGAATGCCTTTTAGCACCCTGGTTGGTGCTTCCATTTCTGTAAAAGAAACTTGCGTTGGGACGTGCAGCTTGAGGGGAGTGGTGAGCCAATTCACCCCCTGGAAATGGACAAGGTCAGCAGTCAGAATTCTGTGGTGAGCCCAGGCCTCCATTGGCGCTGCTCTTGGGTTGAGCAGGCGTCGGATGCTCTTGCAGGAGCTGGCCCCTCAGCTCTGCTAGTGGGGAGGAGGGAGCGCTAGTTGTGTCAGTTACTGAAACCCCAGCAGCACTCCGAGATGACCAAAAAAACCAAACTTACAGAGGAGAGATTGACACCCCTTAGGGACTTGAAACAGAGTACCCATCCATCTTAACACTAGATGATGCAAACCTGAGCTGGAAGACGGGACAGCTGATCTTCTTTGCTTTACAGACAGGAACTGGCTCTTGCTGGCTATGAATTCTGCATTTCAACTCTTGAGGAGAAAATTGAACGAGAAAGGGAATTATCGGAAGACGTTCTGTCAGGTAGGAAACCTGGCTATTTTTTTTTGGCCTTCCTTTGCCGCAGAGGGCTTTGCTGTCAGGCTGCAGTACAGGGCACAGAAAGTGTGTCAATCAGGGAAGGGGAGATGACTTGTTTTGTTAACTGGCTGTTTCTAAGGTCTCAGAGGGTTTTGAGTAAGATTTTCTTTAAATGACTTGATCACAGGTTTGCTTTGTTTTGTTTTTAACCCCATGGTGACGTGTTCATAGTATGTCGTTGACTTATATAGAACCTCTGGAAAACTCGGGGAGAAGGGATGTGTTTTCTCTGGTCTGTTGGTTCAGCTGTGGTCACAGTACAGGTTAAGTCGCTTAGCTCCCGGTGTCCACGAGGGTGTGAGAGAGGAGTGCAGAGTGTGTCCGTCCCTCATTGTGGAGGGAGGGTGTGACGTCGTGTGGGATGGGCAGGAGGCTCTGGCTCTCAGCCATTCCAGTGTCTTTTTTTTTTTTTTTTTTAATTGAAGTAGTTGGTTTACAATGTGGTGCCAGTCTTTGCTGTATTCAGTTATATACATACCTTCTGTTTTAAATATTCTTTTCCATTATGGTTCGTCATAGGATGTTGAGTATAGTTCCCTGTGCTGTACAGTAGGACCTTCTTGTTTCTCAATTCTGAATGTAATCGTTCGCATCTAAAGCCCCAAATTCCCAGTCCTCTCCCCTCCCCCTTTGGTAACCACAAGTCTGTTCTCTGTCTTTGAGCCCGCTTCTGTTCTGTAGATAAGTTCATCTGTTCATCTGTGCCGTACTTTTAGTTTTTATCATTTTATTTTCTGTATTTCTGGCTGCACTGGGTCTTCGCTGCTGCGGGTGGCCTTTTCTGGTTGGGGCGAGTGGGGACTACTTTCTGGTTGGAATTCCTGGGCTTCTCTGCAGTGGCTTCTTGTGGAGTGTGGGCTCGGTAGTTGTGCATAGGCTTAGTTGCTCTGAGGCATGTAGACTCTTCCTGGACCAGGAATTGAGCCTGTGTCTCCTGCACTGGTTGGTGGATTCTTAACCACTGGACCACCAGGGAAGCCCTGTGCCATTATTTTAGTCTTTCTCCATCTGACTTACTTCACTTATGTGATAATCTCTAGTTGGATCTGTGTTGCTGCAAATGGCGTTATTTTGTTCTTTTTCATGGTTGAGTATCCATTGTGTATAGGTACCATGTGTTTTTTATCCAGTCATCTGTTGATGGACATGTAGATTGTTTCCATGTCTTGGCTGTTCTTGAATAGTGCTGCTGTGAACATAGGTGCATGTGTCTTTTTGAATTACGGTTTTGTCTGGGGTTATGCCTAGGAGTGGGATTGGTAACTTTTTTGTTTTCTGAGGAGCCTCCATACTGTAGTCCATAGTAGTTGCACCAGTTTACATTCTCACCAGTAGTGTAGGAGGGTTCCCTTTTCTCCACAACTTTTCTAGAATTTATATACTTTTTGATGGCTTTTTGATTCTGATTGCTGTCAGGTGTTATTTCATTATAGTTTTAATTTGCATTTCTCTTAATAAGTAGGGACATTGAGCATCTTTTCATGTGCATTTGGGTTTTTCTTCTTTTTATTTTAATTATCTTATTTTTCTCTCATTGTGACAAGTGGGTGCGACTCTTTGTCTTGGGGCTTCTTGTTGAGGGGGCTTCTCTTGTTGCGGAGCATGGGATCTGGAGCACAGGCTCAGCAGTTATGGTGCATGAGTTTAATTGCTCTGAGGCATATGGGATCTAGTTCCCTGACCAGGGATAAAACCTGTGTCCTCTGCATTGGCAGGTGGATTTTTAACCACTGGACCACCAGGGAAGTCCTTCCATTCAGGTGTCTTACTACGGGTTGAAATATTGGGAATTTTCAGATTGACATTCGTTCAGTGACTGATTTCACACTTCCTCTTTGCTGGGAGCTCGCACGATGATGGAGGTGGAGCACAGCTCTGGTATCTCTGAAGGCTGTTCATGTGGCTTCAGGGACGTGTGTCTGTCCTCCGTGGTCTTACAATTTACCCTGGAACAAAACTCAGTTTTCCTCCATCAGCTCTGCTGAAGCTCCCCGTATCGAGGTCACCAGCTCTCCTCCCTAGCAGCTCAGCCCAGTGATCACCATCTCCTGCTGGAAATATTTTACTGGACTTCAAGGCCACCTCCCTGGTCGCTTGCGCTTGCTGGGTCACCTCTCTCGTGGGCCTCGGCGCTGTCTGGGCCACTTCCCCCTCTGCCCCTGCACCCTGGGAGGTAACCATGAGGCCTGTGCTTTCAGTACCAGTTCTACACCTTCTGCGCAGCCTGTGAGAGAGCTTGTCTACCTGACATCTTGACCGGAATGCCTGATGATCATCTCACACTTTACCTGTTCGGAATGAGTCTTTTTTTTTTTTTCCTGCCTTGATCTAGTTTTTCTTACTGAAGTGTAGTTGATGTGTGTTATATGTTACAGGTGGACAGTACAGTGATTCTGTTTTTAAAGGTTGTCTTGTTACTGTAAAATATTTGCTATATTCCCTGTGTTGTGCCCTATATCATTGTAGCTTATTTGACAGCAAAGAGTTTGTCCCTCTTACTCCCTCCGTGTATATTGTACACCCCCACCCTACCCCCTGTAAATGGATCTCTTGATTTCCACCCCTCCCAGTTGCTTCTCACCAGGCAACCTGTTTTGTAACTGGCACCACCATTTACCCGGTGCTTTGGCACCATCTGTGATTCTTCCTTCCTTCCTGCTTGTAGCTCACCGGCAAGCTGTACTGAACCTGCCGTGGCAATACGTCCACGTCACAGCCATCTGGCCCTCCTGCCCCATTATGGTCCAGGCCAGCGTGCTTCTTGCCTGGGAGCCTGTGGTCTTTTCCTCCCAGGGGTCCCTGTTCCCTCATTCCCTTGGGAAGGTGTTCCTGCCTACCTGCCGTCTCAGGCCCGCCTCCACCTGCAGCCCCAGCTCCTCATAAAACAATCTGTTATCAAAAGGAGCACTTATAGGAGACAAAATTTCCAGTCTTGCATTAGCTCACTTAATAGTCCATTTACTTAGTTAACTTCAGTCTAAATTTAGTTAATCGTGACTATGCATAAAACTTTCCTCAGGGTTCCTCCTCATAATCACTTTTTGTATCCAACCTGTCTTTCATTTTTCATCTAAATAAAGTTAACCAGCTCTTTTTTTACCAACATGTAATTTCATTTTTCATATCTTCTTTATTGAAAACATATATTGTATCTCCTACTGTATTTTGAAAAGTTACTGTATTGTTTCTCATAGTTTTAATTTCATGTTTAAATTAGAATCCTCAACTCTTAAAACAATTTTAGTGAAACTAAGAAGTAAACAATTAGGTTCTCTCTTTACGTTGGCATTTTATAAATTGGTGAGCTTAAACATCAGTGGTAATTTTTTTAAAACATTTGTTTTCTTAATGTGTGTGTTTGTTTCTCAGTTGTGTCTGACTCTTTGCAACTCCATGGACTATAGCCCACCAGGCTCCTCTGTCCGTGGAATTCTCCAGGCAAGAATACTGGAGTGGGTTGCCATTTCCTTCTCATGAGTGGTCGTCCTGACCCAGTGATAGAACCCAGGTCTCTCGCATTGTAGGCACATTCTTTACCATCTGAAACCCTGTTTTCTTATACAGAACATCTTAGGTGATATCAAACATTTTCATTAATATTTTCAAATACTTTTGATTTTTTTTTTCTAGTAATTGATGACTTGGTACCTTAGTATCTTTTAGGTAAACTTTCATTTCGTAGCTTAAATTGGCACAGCTTTAGAATCTTAAGTTACCAAACATCTGGAAAGATCACATTAAGTAGACATTTCTAAAATAATATTTTAAAGCTTTTGTCCCAAAGTTTTTATCTCACTTACCTTGAAGTTTCATCATGTCTAGTTATTTTCTTGCAAGAGATTAGTAAGGTCTTATTTATTAAACCTAAATACAATAAAATATTATACTTCATTTAGATGTCTCTCTTGTTCTCCAGTCTCTCAGTTGTGTCCAACTCAGCGACCCCATGGACTGCAGCACACCAGGCTTCCCTGTCCTTTACTGTCACCCGGAGTTTGCTCAAACTCCTGTCCATTGAGGCAAAGATGGCATCCAACCATCTCATCCACTGTTGCCCCCTTTTCCTCCCGTGAGTCAGCTCTTTGCATCAGGTGGCCAAAGTATTGGATTTTCAGCATCAGTCCTTCCAGTGAATATTCAGGGTTGATTTCCTCTAGGAGTGATGGTTTCATCTCCTTGCTGTCCATGGGACTCTCAAAAGTCTTGTCCAGCACCACAGTTGAAAAGCATCAATTCTTCGACACTCGGCCTTCTTTATGGTCCAACTCTCACATCCATACATGACTACTGGCAAAACCATAACTTTGACTATGGACCTTTTTCAGCATAGTTGACATCTTTGCTTTTTAATACACTGTCTAGGTTCATCATAGCTTTTCTTCCAAGGAGCAAGTGTCTTTTAATTTCATGGCTGCAGTCACCATCTCTGATTTTGGAGCCCAAGAAGATAAAGTCTGTCAGTGTTTCTAGTTTTTTTCCCTATCTATTTGTCATGAAGTGATGGGACCAGATGCCATGATCTTTGCTTTTTGAATGTTGAGTTTTAAGCCAACTTTTTCACTGTGCTCTTTCACCTTCATCAAAAGGTTCTTTAGTTCTCTTCCCTTTCTGCCATTAGGGTGTCATCTGCATATCTGAGGTTATTGATATTTCTCCGTGCAGTGTTGATTCCAGCTTGTGCTTCATCAGCTGGCATTTCACATGATGTACTCTGCATAGAAGTTAAATAAGCAGGTGACAATATACAGCCTTGACGTACTTCTTTCCCAATTTGGAACCAGCCCATTGTTCCATGCCTGGTTCCAACTGCTGCTTCTCAACCTGCATACATATTTCTCAGAGGCAGGTAAGGTAATCCCTCCCATCTCTGTAAGAATTTTTGTTTGTTTTGATCCACACAGTCAAAGGCTTTAGTGTAGTCAGTGAAGCAGAAGTAGATGTTT